AAGCATTTCAATTACTCGGATTATACTTAATTATGCATTTATTGAAAGTGAAACTGTTGATGCATTTCTGTTAATAGATTTCATTGTGAAAAATACTGATATCTTTCAATCATGATTATTTTTAGGATTATGATGATCATTTACTGAGTAGCCAAACTCATCAAACTATGGTAAACATTTTTTCAGGATAACTACGGATTCATTTTGAGTGCTAGTCAAGATCAACCTTGGAAGATACTGTTGTTGTGCTAGCTTTCTTTATTTACTATGTAAGACCTCGCCACTATAAATTTGTCCTATCAATAGATGTATATATGTTTTGTCCGTCACATCTCAGGAATAACAGTACTGTAAATTCTTGGGGTGTGACAATATACCTATCTCTCTTGGAGACACATCTCCATCTTGGAGATCTCTTCTGATAACCCTCTGTCTTGAAGTCTATATACCTATCTCTCTTGGAGACACATCTCCATCTTGGAGATCTCTTCCGATAACCCTAAAAAGGAGCCCCTTAAAAGGTTATTATTATGATGACCATTTTTATAGAGATCAGTGAGTTTTTTTTTTGTTTCCACAATACTTATAATCATTAAAAGAAAAACCTAGATTTGGTAATTTTGACACCAAACCTACAAGTTTCACCTAGATACATAACGACCTTTAGGTATAGAAAGGAAAACTTCAATAGTGGGAAATATAAAGTAAAATTTATAGATCAACAATAGAACTAGGAATAATGTTAAATCAAACAGATGAGTACAAGGTTTGGCATACGACGCGGTCATTTGGTGGATTTCAAACATTTTGCTACCACATCCCACACCATTCAAGGTTAACAATGGATCGCACAAAATCCAATCCTACCATTGAAGTACCCCAAAAAATGTAAAAGTGGAGCCAGAAAACATCGTCAAGGGTGAACTAACCAATCGGTTCAAATTTAACTCAAAGAAAAAGTTGAATTTAATGGATTCTTTACCAAAGGTCGTTGCCAAACTAGTACAACAGTTGACGAGATTGACTCCAAAAGACGCGCCTTTGGTGGACAAGAGTTATGCTCTTGAGGGAGCCTATTATTCATGCACTCCTAAGGAAAAACCTATTTTAGGAATATGAAGGGAAATATTTCTATGCTTCCCCTACGGCACAGAAGTTCTATCCTCTCGCTACTATACAGCCATCCAATTTTGTTCAAGAGAGTTACTCATTGGTTGATCTTAGATCTGACGTTTCAAAGTATTTTATTTTTAGCTTTTTTTATACAAATTGTATGAATATGAAATTTGATAAGTGCCATCTTCTCATTGGGGCACACCTATAAAAAATATTAAAAATAATTTTTCGATAAAATATACTGATCAAAATAGTCCTTTAAACTTTTAAGGGTATTTTGGTTATTTTAATTTATTGAAAATTTTTGGTTTTATATTTTTCGCTAGTGCGAGTTTAATAGAGGAATGAACATCCAAATTTTGGTGTCAAAATAATTTATAGAAAAAATTAAAAAAAAAATTGTGTAGAGACGTAACATTGTGATTGGGGCAATCTTAGCCCTCCATTCAGAATGGACAGTTGGATAAGGGGGAGGATATAACTTCTATGCTCTAGATGAAGCATAGAAAGCTTGCCTAGTTTAAGGACTCCAATTTTGGAGGACGTAAATTCACCATCCTATATCTTATACTCAATAAAAAGAAGGGAAAATATCTTCATAGTTCCTATTTTTAGGTTTAATTCCTTGATATGCCCATTCAAAGGGAATAAAAGAAGATATTCTAGGGAACAAAAAATATCTTGTAACCCCTTATCACTTTAAACCTATTTTTTAACCTAAACAAATGTAAGAAATACATTTTCACTTATATATTCCAAACTTCTTTATTTCTCTCTTTTCATATATCTCTCACTTTCTCTCCTTCCAGTAACCTCTCACCTTCATGAAGCTATTTTTTCCTTCTAGAAGTTTGGGATGATGACTTTTAAAAAAGTCATGTCTTTTTAAATTTGTTTGACCTAAAAAAACATGTTTAAATTAACTCAGGGATTAGAAGAAATAGAATTTATAAATTTTGTGCCTCAAGATATCGTTTAAAACTTTGAGTCTATTGTGAAATGAAACTTAAAAATGAACAGCATGGAGATATTTTCCTTAAAAGAAATCTAAAATGTGCTATCTATGGGCTTGAAAAAGAATACCCCAAGATTGAACCATCCAATTTTTTAGGGGTGAGATCTAAATTTGAGAAAACTCAGAATTCAATTTTTTCTTATTTTGAATATATTCATCTGTCCTTTTTTTAAAAAAAAAATTTATCTTTTTTGTTGTTCCAAAATTTCATATTAAAAAAAAAATGAAAAATTTAATATAACGTTGCAACCTTAAAGTGTAGAATTAAAGATCCATCGGAAAAGATTGTTTTAATGCTGAAGCACACTCTAATTGATCATCTCGATATCGGGATATATGAATATGGAAAGAAAAAAGGATTTTGAGTCCCATAAATAGTACATCTCGCAACATATTATCCAGACCGTCCACTTTTAAGATTTTCATATGTTTATAGATTTATTGGATTTAAACTATTTTTAGAGTTTAAAATTTTATAATTAAATATAAAATATATTTTCAGATAATCCTAATAACATTTTACACCAAAATTACATGTTGTGATAAATTTTGGAGGTACGCCTTAATTGGATTATTTAAAGTTGCAACTTGCAACCTCATAGAAACCAAAATCCTCCAAAGGCGGTGATCTGCTTGCGGGGATAAGTGTACAGTACCATCCTACGGGATCATCGTGCACAGTTCGACTGTTGAAAGGTTTTCGAGAATCGTACTCGTACAGGAGTCATTCAAGTGGGTGGTAGATGTTGGTGCCTTCCAAGGAGATGAATGCTGGATTCCATCTGAAGTCCATGCCGAACGCCCCCTGGTTTTTGACCCTTGACCTACGCTGCATTTTTTACGTTTTTAAATTGAATTCCTCTATAGAGTTAGGGTCCAAGTAGACTGCCCTCAGCAACAAAAATATCAGGATTGAGAGATGAAGGGTTGGAGGGTCTCCCCGATGGTGCCCATGGTCCTGCTGCTCCTTGCCATTCTTTCATGTCCCATTGCAGCTAAACCCAAACTACTGCAAGGTATGAAACTCGGACGTTGATTTTTACCCTTCGGTTTTCAAAAATTATATTGATGAGTCATAGTTTGCCTAAAAACGCCCTTTCAGTTTCCTTCGTATATCTTTTGGGGAGAAGCCACGGTGGTTTTGAACAGTTTTGGTGATTGATCGGTATTTTTAAAAAATTTAAAATAATGTTTATAAAATTTCAGGAATAAAGAATTTAGTTTGTAATACATTTTTTTTTGTTATTCTTTACATTAAGATAAAGATTATAAAACGTTTTGGTAATTTGACTCACTTTTATATTTTTTCCATCTTTTTTGAAATTTTTTAAAAATACTTCTAGGCGTAAATCGATTCTTTAAAATCTACTTTTTTCATTAATTTTTAATTTCATTTGAATGTGTTTTGTTTTTTGTTTTAATTATTCTTTTTAGGTGAGGTTTCTATAAGGTTGCAACCTTAAACAATCCAATTAAAGTGCACCTCCAAATTTTATCATAACATATAATTTTGTCCCAAAATTCTTAGGATTGTCTTAAAAAATTTTGTCATATTTAATTATAAAATTTTAAACTCCAAAGGTTAAAATCAAGTAGATCTATAAACATATGAAAATCTTGAAAATTGACGGTCTAGTTAATGTGTTGCAAGATGCACTATGTTTGGGACTCAAAAACTTTTTTTTTTTTTTAATATTCATACATCTCGATGTCGAGATGATCAATTAGAGGGTTTTCAACATTAAAACAACCTTGCTGGTAGATTTTTGAGGTGCATATGTGATTCTACATTTTAATGTTGTAGCGTTATATTAGCTTTTCCCTTCTTTATATGTTTTTCATATTTTAGTATATTTTTTTTGTATATTTTTTATTTTCTTTCAACAATTTTTTGATCACTTGGGACTTGTCCGGTTATAACGATTTAATCGACCAGTTTATCTGTTAAACCGATTAAACCGCTTCCAACCCCATGTCCGATTAACCATTCTGGTTCGATTTTGCGAACACTAAAAAAAGTGTTTGTTGAGTCAAGGGATACCTTCCTTGCACCATCAAATGTTCGTCTTCAAGATGGGTGGCAACGAAAGACGACTTCAATCAAATTCAAAATGAACGATGAAAAAAGTTGCATTTGAATTTATTTATTTATTCGTATCTTCAATCTTCATGCTTGATATTATCGATCCTTAAAAATTGATCCATTATTCACGTTTAAGATGAATTTTGCTAGGGGAATGCACATGAATAGGTGAGTCAACTCATCAAAATTGGATCCATCTCTTTCAGGTATACTTGTACCATTTTTAAATTGATCATGTGTGTATGTGAGATAGAGAGAGATGTTTTGGGTTCTCACTGCAGTTGAGTATACACCGTAATGAGTATAAAATCTCACAACGGACCAAAATATGGAGATATGGAGGCACGAGAGAAGCTCGTTTTTTTTTTGAAGTGTTAACTGCCTACATCATAGTAAAATTTTCAAGTTTAAACGGTTAAGTGACAAGTATATTCTTAGGATACAACCAGATCCAAATATAATTCTTAAGCCATAGAGTTACACACTACTCACGAGATACATATAAAACCAAATCTCAAAAATAATGATGTCTTTCCGATCGGTATATTACAATAAACATTGATTGAAAACAAAGTTCTCTCTTACTCCAAAATTATCTTCCAATCCGCATAACACTAATAAATATCGATTCAGAACAAACTTTTCTCACTACAAAAATTATCATCCAATTGGTATCATACCATTAAAACATCAATTGAACGGACTTTTCTCTCACTATAAATTATCTTCCAATTGGGAGGAATAAACATGAATTGGGTATGACAAGACATCTCTCTCACCAGAGAAATAGACTGCCAATCGATAAAACAAACTTCAATTGGCTAAAAAGAACACCGACATAAATTTTCTGGTATCCAATAATTTGTTGACACCCTAGTGCAAAAAAATTCGGTAGAATCTCCCGTCAATTGGAGTCCGTTTCTGCATTCAGAATACTTATAATTTTTAGTTAAATTCTTGTAAGAATTAAATCAAGTTTTGAAAGTTATTTGGGACAACATAAGTACTCTTAATCTTAGATAAGTTCTTGTAGAAATTAGATCAGTTTTTTTTGGCTACTGTAGAGTGATACAAAAACAATTCAGAAAAACTCCTATTATTGTATTCTAAAAGAAGAGAGAGCAATTAAAGAGAGTAAAACCGTCTCTCCATCTCTCTCATTCGCTTTCTCAATTTAATAACCTCTTAGAAGAAGAGAGTGAGAGACCCGAAAACGAGAGGTAAAACTGTCTGCTCTTTTTCTTGCTAAGTTTGTGTTCCGTAGCTGAGAAAACTTGAGAGAGAGAGGCAAAGATAACGCCTCATAAAATAAGGTATCAAAAGGCATTAAATTGGGGGTTTAAGGGTGCTATTAGGGGTGGCAATGGACCAGATTTGATTGGGGACCCAAGGGGTAGACCCCATCTGTATCTTGATATGGGTCCAAAACTTGGACTTGACTGATCTGATCCAGGTTCAAAGCTTTAACTCAAGACACTATTTGGGTTTGGGTTCGTTAATGTTTTCAGGTCTCAATACATGAAATATATTTAAATATAGTTAAATACTTAGATATTTTAAATTTTGAGTTGGGTTTGATCGGGTTTGGGTCCCACACTACTTTCAAGTTTAGGTCTGATCCCGTATCATTTTTTCGGGTCCTAGTCCATCTCCAGTTGGACTTGACCCGATCGGTTGCCACGCCCTTGCTACGTACGAAACAAGTAAAATCGAAGAACCAGATTGTGTAAAACAAAGCGCAAACGATGTGTGGACCACAGGTCAACACTATAAAAATCGCCCAGCAGCAAATCTTAAGAAAATGAGTTGTTTTGAAATACGAGAGAGAAAGAGATTATCATGCCAACCATGGTAACATAATCAAAACTACTTCTTGTCGTGGTTGCAGAGATGGTGGTTGCCCGAAGAGGGAGGCTTGCCCCTCCTCCTCCAAAACCCAATGGAAATTTGCAATGGAGGCGTTCAATTCCAAAGCCAGACCCTGAAGAACCTTCTCCTCCACCACCTCCCCCTGAAGAATGAACTTTGGAAGCTAATGGAGTTGATTTATGTGGTTGTCTGCATTTCTCAAGGGAGAATAGCATTTTCTTGCACTTCTTTTGCACGTCATACTCATTATAAAAAGTTTTTTACCATACTCAATGTTTCTATTTACCTACAATATTTCCCCTTTTCTTTAGTGATATACTTGAGAAGTTCCAATGGAAATTCACTTGCAGGAATGCTCAAAAAAGGTTTTAATATCTTTGGGCAACCTTGGGAGTAATCTGTTTAGAATTAGGAACGGTCGTCTTTATTTGGAAGATGTAGATTTAATACAATGCCACTGTTCGATACAGTTTTAAAAGACATGTTAAATCTACTATTTCCAACTAAAACTGAATGTATATACCATTGTAACTTTGATTGTGTCGCATTATACAAACAACACCCTTTTAGTAAGGATAGGTTTTTTTAGTAGGATTAAGAAGTTCAAAAAACAATAATTATAGGTGAAGTTCAAAAAACAATAATTATAGGTCTTTTTTTATTAGAATTAAGAAGTTCAAAAAACAATAATTATTTGTTGTGAGGTCCTACTTTTTAAAATTTTATTTATTTCAAAATTACCCAAGGTTCGAAAGAACATTGGCCATTTGAGTGAACCAATGTTGCTAACCTTGGATTGACCTTTTGGTTTCAATGGGAACTAAATTAGTTAGAATGCCCGTTGGTTACCCCTTTGGGGGCGGTCCGAAAGTTTGTTTTAGAAACCATTGTGGTTGTAAATTTTAGGAGATTTCGACGCCAATTAACCCCATTTTATGGTTGTAAAACTAGAGGCCCCCATTGCAAGCGACTATGATACTATTTACATGGCCTGCGCATCAAAAAGGGGTCCAATACTCCAATTAACAAAGTGACTAGTATCAAATGAAATGTAAATGGGATAAAATGTTTGTTTTTTTTTTGGATAATTCAATAGAGATGACGGCCCTTATCCGTTTTTTGTAATTATTAATGGTTTTTTGAAGCGTTAAGTGATAATGAAAACCTAAACCCTAGTAGTTATGGCACAAATGATGTTACCACCATGACCCCAACCCCATTCTCAAATTGGGGTAAAAGTTGGTGGACTTTAATGCAAGGCATCCCAAGTTCGCTCTTTAAAATTTTCAGACCCCATTTCATCCACTTTATGAAGTTATCGAGATCAAAACCACCATTTTGATTGATTGGGGTTGCACTATTTAGATCGCAATTGATGTACATGGCTGCAACTAGCACACATGCCAGAACGGTCCCATACAATGTTTCTTTGATTTCTCGCAAAACCTACGGGGGACCAAGCTAAGATTTGAGAAGAATTCTCATTTTTCACACCACCGAAGTGAAAATCAACATCTTGAAGGTGCTTATTTTGAAACGAGAGTTGGATCAAAGATTGAATCTAGAGTCAGAAAGGTGTTGTTGGCTGCAACATACTTCATGGCCTTCCGGCTTTCTTTTGTCCAGTTCCACCAAATCCCAAAACATTCTGACCTGAAATGTTGCAAATGTGATCCTCCCTCATTATCTTCTAAGATCATGTAAACATTGACACCATTTGCGAGATGACTTTAAAGCGAATCAAAGCCAAAAGTTTGAGTGAAAACAGGAAATGCTTCACATTCACCATTGAACTGAGATTGACTATAAATGCATGAATATGCGTAGTTTATGGTTAGGGTTTGAACCATGGATCCTCAACACAATCCCATATCATTCAATGGATCAAAAGAAAACAAAAACCATGGTGATCATTCTCATGAGACTCGGCCGAGTAATTCGGCGAGGTGAGTTTTGGCCGAGTAGGTTGTACAACATTTTTTTGAACTTTAAATATACCATTAAGTATCTCAATTTTACATCAAATATGTTCGAATGGTTTATTGGTCAGCTTTAATAAATAAACTTTGCTCCAGTTGAGTTTTGAATTCCCACTGAGGTATGTTTTATTTATTTATAGACGTTACTACACGAATGAAATTTTACCTCAAATATGTTTGAATGGTTTACTGGTCAGCTCTGATAAATAAACTTTGCTCCAGTTGGGTTTCAAATCTCCACTAAGGTATGCTTTATTTATTTGTAGACGTTTTTATTTATTTATAGACGTTGCTAGACACTTGCATATAGACGTTGCTACGAGAATGGTCTACAAGAATGGAAGTCAATACCACTTTTAAATTGGTCCATTTATGTAAATGGAACTAACCACCATGTCATTTACCAACTTTGTTAACAAAAGTGGCGCTCATATTATATATAACTATTTTTTCTTTCCTTTTCTTTAAAAAACAATGAGCTATGGACATTGTTATAATAATGGAACTCAATACCACTTGTAAAGAGATCTATTTATGTGAAGGAAATTAACCAACAATCATTCTACAATTTTGTTAACAAAATTGGCACTCATATTGTTGGGTTTATGTGGACTTTAAAGGCTTTAAAAGAGATTGTATAAATATTTTAATTAATGAATCATAAACTCAGTAGGAGTGTGGTTCTCTTGTGGACCATACTAGGCAAATGTAATTTGCTAATACTCAGACTAGGCTTGACATGCTAGGCCAACCAAGTTAGAAAACTCAAGGTACCAAGGCATAAAGATGAAACCGAAGAGACTTTAGTGGGTTAGCACTTGATGATGTTCGAGTATGCTAGGATGGGAGCCGAGGAACTGTGTAACCCTTATGTGTGATGAATAATATATGAAGACATGACTAAAACCTTACCGTTGTAAAATCACACGACATAGACATAGATAGTCGTACTAAGATAGTAATCCATCATTGAGGGTGAAACGTGTACATGTGCAAGAGATTACCTATATACACCATAGAGTCATGGTTGTATCATGGTTTGGCGGATCATGAGAACCTGAATTCCACAGACTGAAATTACGTCCCCTACAATGGACTGTGGGTCATGAGAACTATTGAGTTAGTTTGAAATTACGTCCCCTACAATGGACTGTGGGTCATGAGAACTATTGAGTTAGTTTGAAATTACGTCCCCTACAATGGACTGTGGGTCATGAGCCTCTACAATGGACTGTGGGTCATGTGAACTACTGGGTTAATTTGATAAAGCTACTGTGGATCGTAGTCCACAATTGAAGGTGGAGTACTCCTATGTGTTGATTAAATCCTGACCTATTTGGATCCGATTCCCATTAAAATTAATATAATTTAATTAATTTTATGTTATTTGACTTTTAGAATGTTTATTTGAATTTTATAAATCTTTTGATATTTTAATTTTGTCATTTGCATTTATATATCAAGAGAAATTCATTTCTAAAGTTTTAAATAAACTAAGAGGTTTGAAAAATCTAAGAATTAATTTTTATTGTTTCTAAAATATGTGGGACCCTCCATAATTATTGGAGGCCCATTTAAATCACATAGGATAATTGGGTGAGGTGGCCACCAAAGGGTGGCATGCCCCACCCATAAGGGATTACATTTTCTTGCTAAATATTGTGAGAGTCATCTCATGCTAGTTGACTTTCATTTGTAGAGAGAAGCCTACTTGCAATAAGGGAATGAAATATGTGGTTTTAGAAAATCAATCAAGAATGATTAATTGAGACATAGGGAATGAATATTTGCTATTAGATAAAGTAAAAAAATATTTTTCTTATTTAACTTATTTGATGGAAATGGGTTTAGAAAGGGGAAGATAAGGTTCTAGTACATTCCTTAGCATCTTGATGGTGGATCTAGGGAATGGATGACTCACATCTCTCACCCCACAAGTCTCATTAGATCGACAGTCAAGGTTTGTTTCTACGATTTTTTGGTAAACCACAATGTATGAAAACTCTATAAAAGGGATCTTTCTCCTCGCTTGTCTCTACACCTTTTACTTACTCTCTCTTCTCTCTCTAAAATATAATATCTCTCGTTAGCCTCTCTAAGGGGCATGCCCCACATAGGTTACTCTCTCTCTCTCTCCAAGAAACCTAAAGGACCACACCCCACCTTACGCCTACCTATCTCTCTCTCTCTCT